TTTTGAAAGTGACCTGCTTTTCATTCTCATCTTTTTGTTGTTGTTGTTGTTGTTGTTGTTTTTGAGACGGAGTCTCGCTCTGTCACCAGGCTGGAGTGCGGTGGCACGATCTCGGCTCACTGCAACCTCTGCCTCCCAGGTTCAAACGATTCTCCTGCCTCAGCTTCCCGAGTAGCTGGGATTATAGTCACTTATTGCCATGCCCAGCTAATTCTTGTAGTTTTGGTAGAGACGGGGTTTCACCATGTTGGCCAGGATGGTCTCAATCTCTTGACCTCGTGATCCGCCCGCCTCAGCCTCCCAAAGTGCTGTGATTACAGGTGTGAGCCACTGCTCCTGGCCCTCACACACTTTTTTTAATTGCTTGCTTCTAGCAATATGGAATATGGAATCTATAATCAACCCCCAAATATATATTATCTATCAAATTTCTTTTAGAGATCTCAACCAACAAACCACTGTCTTTGCAGTGCCTGCCCTAAATTCCTGAGTGTTAGAGAATCTTGTTTACGCCTCCATTTTACTGGAAACTTGATCACATTATATTTTTGTGCTTTTATAGACTGATAAGGTTTTGAGTTTCTTAAATGTGTAGAATCATTGTTGGAGCATCCTCGAAACCCTGGAACATAATGGACATAAAATAAATGGAGGTCTTGTGAATTAATGACTCAATCCAGTCAGATATATGGGGTTTCTTTATAATGGCCTTGCTGTCCATTTTCACTGCCACCACCTTCTCTCAACCTTACCTCTTGCTAGGTAAATATTTCATTATACTTTATCTCCTAGCATAATCTTCCGCCTTCACCATTTCTTCTTCCTCCTCTTTCATAAGGAACCGTCAGAAAATGTCTTCATTATTGACCTTTTCTTTAGATAATTCACTTACCTGAAGAAATTATTTGATTTTCACTCTCTTGTTTTTTAATTCTTTCACACATCTCATCCACAGGTTTTGGAATAATTTTCTTTAAGATCTCCATCTTGCAGTACTTATTCAAGTCTGTAGCTTGTCTTCACAATTTCAAAGAGCTGGCAGACTGACACTCTTCCTCAAGCTCTTTTGCTTTCTTTGCTTTCTCTTCTCTTAGATAGACCAATTTACATGTACAGGACACAAAATTGTTTATCACCCCAGACAGAAAAATACAAAGTTCAGACACTGCAATTTACTAAATGTCTTTATGACCATACTTTTAAGTCTCAAGATGGAACCAGACGTCTGCTGACTCTCCTTGGAAACTATTTTATACCCTTAAAGAACCGGCTAACTGCCTGGAGCACATTGCTTTCTTGAACCTCTACCTATGTTCTTCCTGACAATAAAGTTTCTCATTCCTTTCTGTGCCTCTTCATCAGCTGGGGATTTTTAAAAACTCCTGATCTCTGAGCTGATTCATTGGGTTTAAGTTGGGACCAGATATTGGCATCTGGTTTTTCCACAAGTTCTCTGGGTTCTCTAAGGCACATCTAGGTTGAAGAATTATCACCTAAGCTATTCTACTTCAGAGTATCAGTAATTAACAAAGTGACAGTTACATATATAATGCAAATTCATTCTCTCTGTCAGGAGTTGACACTCTGCTTTATATTTCTGCTTTAGTCAATCTTTCTGGAGTATATAAATAATATGAATATGGTGTAATAACCTTTGCTGTAAAACAGCTATCTTTTCAAGACTCAACTGTCTGCCTCTCTCTCTCGCCGTTTCTCTCTCTGTCTTTCTCTCATTTCATCTAACTCTGTATGTCTGATATACTATTTAAATTAAATGTTAATTCTTGCATCAATGGGAGCTCTTTCAGATTTTTGACTTCTGTATTAATTTGGTTCACATTGTCAACTTAAATACTTGACCACAAAAAACTTATTATTCAAAATTATCAAAATGAATTTGAAGAGCTAGTGATGTAATGCTGATATCTTACTATGACATTCTAATAAAATATTTTAAAATGTGAATAAAATGATAGGTGTGATATACTATAATCCATTGTATGATACATTTTATTTTAAATATTGTGAGTTACATTTTTATTCATTCAGATTTTATTTTAAATGCAAAAAGCATTTTATACAAGAAGGGAAGAATTGATGAATTTAAATGTTTTCTAATATATAAATAGATATCAATATTTTAAAATTATGCAATTTTTACTTCTAAAATAACTGATAAAGATTAAATATTCACAGTCAAAATAGGGTAGGAAGTCAAGAAAACAAAATGCGTAGGTTCATAGCAGTCATTATATAGTACATTACAGGAAAAACATTATTTTATTCTTAACATTTTTCATTATAAACATAGCTATCACTGGTTTCTCTGCTAGCCTATCCACTTTTGGTGAAATAAACATTTAAGCACATATTTCTAAATTTTGCCAAAATTATTCCAAATTTCAACCAAATGTCACTCTTTTTTTCTACTTTTATATCAAAATGAAACACCATTTCTAATCATTTCTTATTTTCTAAGTTTATTGGTATGTCTTATGTATTTCTGTATTCATTTTGAGCTTTCTTCTTGTGTTAATGAAGATATTCTAAAAGATTTGAAAGTCATTAAAATAGAATTAAGAACAGCAGTTGACCCTCCTTTCTCTTTTTATGTGTTTGTTTATTTTTAAATCCATTGCTATGTCTTTAAATGATAATATGTCTGCATAACCCTTGGCATTCTTGGCTAAATTCAACATTGTCATTAAAATTTCATTGCTTAGAAGTATTTACTGAATATTTTCTGTGTGTAGAACAGTGTGGTTTTAGGAGACTGTCAGTGGTCTCATTTCCAAGGTGATACCAAAAGCATTAAACAGTCACAGGTGTGAGAAGTGGGGTGGATGGGTTGGATGGGGTGGGTGGGGTGGACAAGGGGTGGGAGAGAAGAAAATACACACACACAGGTAAAAATGAGGGTACAGCCGGGCGCGGTGGCTCACGCCTGTAATCCCAGCACTTTGGGAGGCCGAGGTGGGCGGATCACAAGCTCAGGAGATCGAGACCATCCTGGCTAATACAGTGAAACCCCGTCTCTACTAAAAATACAAAAAATTAGCCGGGCGAGGTGGCGGGCGCCTGTAGTCCCAGCTACTGGGGAGGCTGAGGCAGGAGAATGGCGTGAACCCGGGAGGCGGAGCTTGCAGTGAGTGGAGATCGCGCCACTGCACTCCAGCCTGGGCGACAGAGCGAGACTCCATCTCAAAAAAAAAAAAAAAAAAAAAAAAAAAAAAAAGACGGTACAAATTGATTTCTTTATTTTTTTAAATACAGGGTATTTACATTTCTTTATACATATTTTTAAAATAAAGGGTAAAATATCACAACTATATTACTGTAAAGAAATATGAGAATCATTAGTGAAATCAGAATAATGTTTCTAAAAAGTTTATTGTGAGTAAATTTAAATCTATAACATACCCATACTATGTATATTGAAAATATTTGTAATTGTTTATAAATACTGCAGTTCCAATTCAGTGAAACATTATAAAGAAGAGAACATGAATTAAATGTTTTCCTTTTGTATTAAGATTCAGCTATTCTGATTTTGACTTTGAATCAGAATAAAAAGCAGACTTTGTAAAGATTGTACACTTCAAATAAGTACATGAATTGTGAGCTACTGGGTTAAAAATACTGACAATTCACGATATTTTCAGCTAGTCTTCCATCAATGACAAAATAAAGGGAAATTTTATGGAAGCATGTGTTTGTCTTTAGCAAAGCCAATTTATAAATTAGAGGGAGATGTTATAACTCTTCTTAGCTTTCCCATTAATAACCTACCATGTGCATATAATCCTTAGTATTTCTAAAATTCTAATGGTTCAGGTCATGATTGGTAATTTGTGTCATGAACATTCAAGTTATAAAGGTGCAAAAAAGGTTTTGTAACCTTTCACTGTTTTCTAGCAACATTAATTTTATACTTTGTAATAAAAAGAAACAGTCTGAGTTATAAGTTTAAAAATATGTACACTTCTGTCATTTTTCAGATTCATGCAGCAGCTTTATGGATACAACTATTACCAAGAATAATCTCAGACTGACACTGCAGGACATTTTTATATGTTTTTCCAAGTTATTATTCTTATGTAGCACTGTCAATACATGGCATTGGTTTGTTCCTTTAATGAGCCTATTATTTTATTTTATTTTATTTTGTGGTTAACTAAGATAATCTGCAAATACCTTCCATCTTCAGTCCAGCCATTGTCAGTAACATAGTAAATTGTGGGGTTCAATTGGATAAAGTTTCATAAAATTTTTAAGAAACAAATTAAAGGCTGTACATGATTTTACTTTATTGAACAAATCACAAACAGTAATATTAAGAACACACAATTAAACTTTATAGTTTATTTTCTACTCACTGTTTAGGGATACTTTTATCTATTATTTCAGTAAAACTCTTACAATTTCAAGGTCAATAGACAATATTTTTATAGGAATTATGTAATAAACATATTTCTGTTTCCTAGCACTGCATCTAAATTCTTATTTGTCAGCTGTACTTTGAATAGTTTAAGTCAACTGCCATCCCATTTGATTTTATAACTTTGTATCATATGGACAAAGTATTTAAAAATTGAGTCTTCTTACAATGGATTAGTTCAATATTTACTGCCTTCACAAATCACTGACCTTGTTTTTTTCGAGTCCATTTCTGGAAAGCATATCTGAAGTGAATACTATTAGAATAGAAAAAGGTTGAATATGTGGAACTAACATATCAGATTTAAATGTGTATTTAGTGAAATTACTGTTTTTTTAATCTCTATTTCTGAAAGGGAATTTCCAATTTTACCATAATAAAATCTAAGTTCTAGACGTTGCCTTAGATAATACATAGTTAACTAACGCAATTTCAACATATCTGTTCATTTTGTATTGAATTAGTTGCTGGTAGACCTTAATGTATGTAATTTATGTATTTTTTTAATAAGATCATTTACAATCTTATATCGTAGTGACATTCAGAATCTTTTCTTTTGCAGCCATTTCGTAGAGTGACGTTTTCTGTTGTGAGTCAGCCTCAGGACCCACATCAGGGGTCACTGCAGAGTTGCTATGACAGCGGGCTGGAGGAGTCAGAAACACCAAGCAGTAAGAGTTCTTCAGGGCCAAGACTGGGTGCCCTTCCACTCCCAGAGGACAACTATGAAAGGACCACGCCGGATGGCAGTGTTGGTGAGGCAGAGCATATGGAAAATGGTAGGGGCAAACACAACATCCACACACATAATCACGCTAGTGAGCCGTAATAAGTTGACTCGCGAAGGTCAGTCTAAAACCAAAATAAAATAGCTGACATTAAAACCATTTTATTTAAGTGATAAATATTTGCTAAAATACAGAAATGCCAAATAAAGGAACATAACTCTGTAGATAAAATTCACCCAAATTGCACCACCATTTTAAAGCATCTTGTCCGAAATAAACGCACTTATAAATAAATCAGAACAGGGCCCACTGTGAAGGAAGCTAAATAAGTGCAGAATTCCTAAACAGTAGACACCGAGAAAGGTCTTGTCTAATTGTTTTCTTCTATTCATTTTTGTCATGCAACTATTTCTTCAAGTACAACTGTCCAGTCTTAGTGAAAGGAAATGAAAGGAACATACCTTGCTCTACTTTTTCTTGTCCTAGATGTTTAGAAAAGCGTTTTCAAACCTCTCCTTTCCAGTGATCACTGAATAGAGTCAAAGGAGAATAGTACTACTTTGTTCTCCATAATATACAATAAATGCTATTAGAATTTCCCTCTTACTTAAATATAAGCTGTTTTTTTTTCATTTTTATGTGAGAGGAAGGAAGGAAAATAAATCATAATACTCTGTATTTTTATACTGTTTTGAGGTGATTCTCATAATTACCACAATTGACCTTGTATACATTTTCCTTTAAGTTATACATTTAGATTGCAAATAGCACTTTTAAAACTTTCCACATTTGTTTATATTCTCAGAGATAATTTGGTGATTTATTTTCTGGATTTTGAGTCATAAGTAAATGCCTGAGGAATAGATTTGTGTCAAATAATGGAATGGTAAAATTCATCCGAACTTCATTATTCTTTCAAATATGAAGAGAGAGATACGGTTATACAGAGAGAAAGGAAGAGGAATCACACACATTTTATCCCTAGTAAAACTTGAAATGGATTTATGTCTTTTGCCATCCCAACCCCTGAGTGAAATAAGACACTCTAACTTTTTGTTATATACCAGTTTCTTTAGTGCTGATATATATGCAAGTAGAGCATATTAATGCAGGAGAAAGACTGATTTTCTTCTGGAAGTTTACCTATGCATATTAAAATCCAATATTAGAATATAATATATCATAAATGACCCTAAGTGAAAGTATTGCTAAATTATATTATGCTAAATAATTATTTATCCACATTGTTCTCGGGTAAGAAGATATGATATCAGGGTCTGATGACTGATGTCCCTCTTGATTAATTTTGCATAGTTAATATGGCATTTTGCCTTATGGCTATAAAGGCATGTTTATCTGTGTGTATGGTGGTGTGTGCTTATGTCGATGGGAGTCTGGTGTGGTTTCTAAGAATTACGGTTTTTTTAGTAACTTTTTTAATGGGCATACAATTTTCGTATGAGTTGCAATGCTGATGAAAATATATTTAAGGCAGATATGTTTAAAATTATTTGGAAAAAGAAACTAAAAATACTGTAATTACATACATAATATGTAAGTACATATGTAATTTGGATGTCAGCTTTATGAAAAAAGGACTTTGTACCACTGGCATTATAATCATTTTTTAATGTTAGTTTCTGTTTTATGAGTTTATGCAGATTCATCACCTTTAAAATAAGAAATAAATAATGAATAATTAAAAGATAATTATGTAATTGCATGCAATTACATATATGCAATCATGTACTATAATGTATTCTTTATTACATATGTAACATATGTAATTACAGATGTATATATGTAATATAGAATACATATATAGTACATGTAATTACATGTATGTATGTAATTACAGTATTTTTAATATAGATAGATGATAAATAGAGCATACCTAGGAAGGCAGGATTAATTTAATTTAGGGGTATTACCACATCTGAGATTACCTTTTCGTGAGAACATATAATTTTGTTTGTGTTTTAAGAAGTACTTATTCTTACTGTAAAGAACAGAATGTACAATTAAATTTTTATTTTTTGGATGTCAGCTTTATTAAAAAAAGACTTTGTACCACTGGCATTATAATCATTTTTTAATGTTAGTTTCTGTTTTATTAGTTTATGGGGATTCATCACCTTTAAAATAAGAAAGAAATGATGAATAATTAAAATATAATTATATATGACAAACACATGTCAGTTACTTTTTAGGAAACATACATGTCATGGAAAACTTAACAGGTGAGCTTGTTAATAAAATAGAAAGTACAATGAGAAAGAGTTCCAAAAAGCAACCTTTAATTCTTTTTTATAACTAAGTTTTTAAGGCCTGTTAAAAGCAGGGGCCATGATAATGTAATGGATTTTTCCTAATTTTGTATGTGATCAACACTTGAAATTCAGAGTTTGTGTGACCATTTTTCATCTACTAGCTGTGATTCATATTAGCCTTGGTCTATAGGTAATAACAGAATGAAATGTGATGCACTATGGGTGATCTAAATGTAGCAGTTGACCTTTGAGTAACAATTTTGTTGGGTCCATGTTTTCAAACTACTCATCTAGCCATAAAGTGCAATTGTATTGCTTAAATTCTGGTAATTTCATCTTCAATATTAATGGATCATTCTGACATATGGATCATTCTGACATAAATAGAATTGGAATTGAAACCTGTCAAGTATTCATTTGTCACATTTAATTGGAATCCAGGTAATCTGTAGTTTTTTGCTTGACTAGGTTTTAATCAGGATTTGTATTGGATTTTCATTTGGATTTTCCATTAAAATACCATTTGGGATGCTGTGCTAGTTCCTAATTATTATTACCTCAAATATTTTTCTGGAATTTTAACCTATGTGAAACAATGCAGTTATCACCAAGTGTTTGGGATTAACTTTCATTGTAAAGTTGAGAAGATAATTTCCAGTGCAATAGCAAGCAAAATTCCAATGTCATGCTACAAACCAGGAATAAGTTAGGATAGCTAATGATAAAAATATGTTTTCACAAATGCAAAAAAGGAACTAAAACAGGAAAATTTAAGTGAAATGTACTTACGTTTTACAAAAGTTTTATCTTCCTTCTGTACTGTAGTATGATAAATACAATTTCATTCCAAGGGCCTGTGTGTTAATGCCCTGTTTAACAAGCTTTAAGCTATATTCTAAAACACATTACTGCCAAATGTAGAATGAGGTTTTATTCTGTTATTAGCTAAGGAAAAAGAATACACCATAAGAACAAACATAATTTCTTACCACCAGAATCTAATAATGTAGAATGAGACCCACCATTTTAAAGTTCCAAATCTGTAGAGTGCCTCAGGTCCCTGCAAAGTAATACTAGAAATTACACCATTTAAAAAATAGTTTAAGAAAACCTTATTAGTTATACATTTATTTGTGACAGAGATTACTAATATGTATTTCTTTGCCTTTAATTATCATCAACATTATGATAATCTCATGCTAATCCTTTAGTATCAATCTAATCAAACATTGAAGTAATTGGTTATTTGTTATTTCATTACAATACACTTAGCAATAAAGTAATAATTCATATAGAGTTTATGGTGGGAAATAGGTAATAAAAACATTTGATAATGAAAATGTTAGAATAATTGATGCATATTGCTATGAATTGATAATTCAAGTAAAACCCAAACGTTAGGCTTAAAAGCGCCATCTCATGCAAGGCAAGCATTGACTATGCAAGGGTTTGCTCTTATTTTAATTATGCAGTACTCTTCAGACTTTCTCTTGGAGTGGGATAGAATATTTCTTTAGATCTATTCTATTTATCCTGGTCCTTCATGCCGTGGCCTACTTGATCTTTCCAAAGCCTCCTCTAAATTATCTTTGCAAAGCCAGTTTGCCTTTGCTATGTAAGTCTTTGTGATAATTAGTGTTTAATAAGCTCAGATATAGAAAACACCTCTCTTGGCTTCTCATCTCAATTTTGCCATCGGTGTGGGTGGGCTACTGTCTAAGGAAATTAATAAATCAACTCTGAAACCTTACTGGGTTCCAGGTCCAATAATCTGTGATTCTCTTACATTCAATTTTTCTTGTATCTTTTACGCTATAGAATAGAGACATTTGTCTCATAGTGAGATAGTGAGTGAATTTGACAATGTATGTTAATGTGGGCAGGCCAATAGTGATTCTAGGGCCTTTCTGTCAACCCACACAGCAAGTGCATTTTAATAGTAGAAAATGCATTTTTTACATAAATCAAAGGAGTGGACTGAATCAAATGGTGTGATTTCTGGCCAGGTGGGTGGAAATGTTGGCACCATAGTAGGCCAGTGTGGGAGACAGCTGTGGAGCCTCCTTTAGATCCCACTATGCAAGAGCCATCTGCATCTGATCAAGCCCTGAGTGCAATGCCCTCGAAATACATTAATTATGATTAAGACATTTCACAATAGAATAAACACATATATTTTCTTACTTAGCAATGTGAACTTTGGTCAGAGTGCAAATGAAAAAAAAAGATAGGAAATGATATATATTTTTCTGTAGGTAGACTTTCTTAAATATCACACCATAAAAATAAATTAAAAAAAAAAAAAAAAACAGCAGATGATCCATAAAACAGGCTTCTAAAAAGTTAAATGAGGTTAGAAATTTGGCCACTCTAAATCCCTAATTCATTTTATGCTTCTTGATTTTCTCAGATCTTTAAATAATACTTTTGACTTTTATACATGAATATTTTTGAACTTTCCCTTTCCAAACTTCCTTACTTTGTCACACTTATATAAGCTAAGCTCAACTGTTTGATTCGTTCTGTTTCCTTCATCTCTTCGTTCTACATGCATTATACCTTGTCCTTGATTATTTAAACATGCTGCAGTAAACCATGGACTTTTCATATTGCTTTTAGACAGTGTATTTGAAATATCATTGGAAATAAGCCACCAATTTTTAATGGCCAAGTGTAATGGGACTAGAGACTAAATGCATATCTTTGTAGGAGGTAAAGGACCTCCTCTTCCTCTCTCCTTTTCTCCTGTTTACCCAATTTTCAAGCAGGCATCTGTCAGGC